TTTTTCTAGTTTTTAAAACTAGAAAAATTGGGCATTATTATAAAGCAATAAAATAAAAAAGTGATTTTTTGTGAAAATCCTCTTTTTTAAGGTAGTCGGATACCTTAAAGAATAAATCAGTGTTAAAATAAATTGGAATAGTTTAATGTTAGAAGCTTTCTTTTCTTTCAAAAACACACAACATAAATAAACGAAAAAGAAATAAAACAACAATTTTTCCAAACTTTGCCTACTACACTTTAACACCAACATTAAAAAAATTATATATTGATAGTCAATGATTATATACTATCATATTTTTAGGTTTAATTGGGTTCTAATTAGTTTATGTTTACTTGTAAGATACAGTTGAAAGTACAAATTTGGATCTTAAAATTAATGAAATGAAATAATCGGGATTAATGCAATATTTTAATTAAAAATAGCACATTCAAAAAGTTCATTTATATAACGAATAAAAATATTGTAATTCCAAAAAGTGATAAATCAACTTACATGTGTTCTCTTTTAAGAATGTTTTCTGTGTTACCAACTACGTTCAAATAAATCACCTTATTTTAAGATTTTTGACTTCAAATTCCACCATCAATTATCTTCTATTAAAATAACAAGGAGAAGCGAAAGGTTGAAAATACTCTATATCGATTCACTCTTTCTCTACTCCTACAATCACGTGGTTTCATTATGAGAACCAAAATTTTCGTGATGTGCGTGCTAATATAATCAGAGAAATGTGATTTTTCAAAACTTTTGAAGCAATTTATATATGATTTTTACCATTTCACATGCTTGAAACTCAAGGATAGATTTTTAGGGCTTGGGGTATTAAATTGATACCCCACTTTCTCAAATTTTGAGTTTTTCTTATTAAACTATTAATTAGTGTTGTTCCCAGATAGGTATTCAAAATAACTGGAATTTCTTACTTAATAACAAACAGCTCAATACACAGATACATGTTACTATCTGCATGGAAAGCACTATGTTTTTCATCAAAAACACTTTTAAAAACGCTCTCCTTAAAACAAATGTGGCATATCATTATATTTCACCAAGTTCTTCATTTACCTAGATTGTTAACACACCTTGTAATAAACATTTTAGGCTTTAATATCGAGTGGTCAAGAGTATGAAAAAGACTGGAAGCTCAATGCAACTGTTCATTATCTATTAGAGCAATTGTCTTCTCCTCACGATGTTGTCTCTAGTTCCCTAACTCTTCCTGTTCTCAATGCAAAAAGTATAAGTGACATCTCAAAGGTTAATTGCACTTTGAATCCAAGAAGAAATGGCTATGGTAACATCTTTAATTCATTATCTCTTTTTTCCTATCTAATCAGCAAGTATTAGATGAACGAAAAAGTGTCTTCTGCATTTTGAAAATATATAAACACTAGCTGTACCGTACCCTGCGTGCGTTGCAATGCTTTCAGTTTGAATTTTAATTTTGTATTTAAGTGTGAAAATGAGATTTGCGGTCATGATTTAAAATGAGAATTTTATTTAATGGTTAAAAAAAACATTGATAGTTTCAGCAGTTAATTCTCTAGGATATCGTTAGTGCATTTTCAAACAGACATGTATGGTGGTGCACACGGACCATGAAACATATTTTGGATGATGATCTGAAATAAGTCTGGATCAATGGCGACATCAGGTATTTCTGCTGATATGAGCTGACCAATTTGGCATGGTGTGATTTTTTCAGTTAGCCAAATCATGGGGCAATCCTCTTTTTTTTGTCATTCAATAGAATACATCAGACATCGTGTCTCGCCAAAAACATGATGCTTCGCAATGAAACCAAGTATGGAGCTTAATATTTGTTTTAATTCACGTGCGGTGACATCATGAAGATCCGATGATGTTTGCCTAGGTTACAAAAGCTCTTCAAGTTCTACGCTCACCGATACTTGTAGTACCGAATGAAGTCATTTGGAAACACGAATGTACCGACATATATTCGCCAAGAAAAGTGTCAATTGATTTGCTTGACTCGATAACAACGCTGATAATGTGTCGGATGGCGACGTTAAATCTGGTAGTTTCACTTTTCCACCAGAACAGCAAATTCCATCTATTTCATTCTTAAATTTGAGAGCACTACAAAACATGCATAATTGATCCATTTTTCCGACGATGACGCTTGGGTGAAGACTACAGTTGGTTGTCGGATCATAGTGAAATACACTGAGATTCAAATCAGAGTATTAGCAGCGTTTGAATAGCGAAGCGCGTTCTTGATTGATTTTCATTTTTGCTTCCCGTTGCTCTGATGTTTCTGACGAACGGGTTTGAGTAGTGTGTATTTGATTCGTTAACAGTCTTCTTTCCCGTCGTTCTGATGTTCCCAACGAACGGGCTTGAGTAGTGCGTAGCTGATTCGTTAACAGTCTTCTTTCCCGTTGCTCTGATGATTCCAACGAACGGGCTTGAGTAGTGCGTAGTTGAATCGTTAACAGTCTTCTTTCCCGTTGCTCCGATGTTTCCAACGAACGGGCTTGAGTACTGCGTAGTTAATTTGTTAACAGTCTTCTTTCCTGTTGCTCAGACGTTTCTAAGGAACGGGCTAAAGCATTCTGTTCTCGATTAGTTTCAAGTCTTTTTTCCCGTTGCTCCGATGTTTCTGAAACACGTGTAGTTCTCTTTTTGCGTACTTGAGATGTTGATCGACTAAAAGCGATACGTTTAGGCGGTATATTTTTGCAAATATTCTCTCTAAAACAAAAAGAAATGTAAAAGTTGACAGTGGTCGCAAATTTGTTAAATCGAAAATTCACATATTTGTTTTAAATAATAAAAAAGCAATGAAAATGAAATAAATTAAATAAGAAATATAAAAATGATAACATTTGAAACAAAAATCTATTTTTCAAATGAAAGAAATAAAATGAATGTGAATTCGAAAAATTTGTAATAATAAGCAATCTAATAGTCTTCAAATGACAACAACTGTCAGATGCATCGAAAAACTCGTACTAATTTTCTATAAACCTTTATTACAATATTTACAAGTTATAAAAAGTGATCCTCATTCTTAAAGTTTAAATATATTTATATAAGTTTGTTAAAGGTTAGAGATTTAAAAATTGAAATAATCAAGTTATGAAATGGAAACAATTAATAAATGTTAAGATTAAAAATGAGGTTAATCTTAAATGACTAATAAAAATTAATGCCAATACTCGTACAAGAGAGACAATTGATTCACAATTTAAGTACATGAGATCTAAGAAAAACCATAAAAATCGTGTATGTGGCAAGTCAAACCCACAAGAATGCATAAGAAATTAAAACAAATTAATATTTAAATGAATAGAGTAATGTTAAATATTATACATTAAATAGCGTTAAAATAGGCCGAATAGTGGTGGTCCAGCATTGTTGAACCCCGAATAACCCAATAGGTCCATTGGGTCAAAAGTTTAGAAATAAGTCAATAAACAAAAACAATTAATATAATGATAAGGAGAGATGCATGTAAAAAACATAAGGAAATAGCATTCTTGTAAGTATGAATATTATCTGCACTAACTATTAAGTAAATCATGGCTACTCACCCTTCATGTCGATGACACAACGATCTATGGCGATTGATAAAACAATCATGGAAAAAACACACACACAGAGTCGAGTAAATTCATTTCATTGGCCAATTCATTTATTTATTTCATATCACTACCAGAAACAGTGAAGATTCACCCACTAACAAACGTTGCATCAGCTCACATACACATTTTGTTACACACGATTTTGTCTCGTAAAAGTAGCACAAATCTTTAACATAAAAGATACCCTTTTCGCAAGGTATATCGGAGTTTTCACATTACTAAAAACCACCCAAAAATCTTGTCATTAAACAATCATGAAATAAGAGAGAGTGTTTTTTCTTTTTCCGTCATGCAACGCCTTATAAAAGCTCGGGGTATTCTCTTGAAAAGCCAATGAGGGACAAGAGGGGAAGGACAACATAAAAGAAAGCCAATGAAAAAAATTAAGGGTTGTTCAGAATTCAACCCCTCAAGAAACCATTGGCCGATAGAAGAAACAAGCACCGGACGGTAGGACCAACACGGGGTCACAACCCCCTCGTGTGAACGGGGAAGCGAGGTCAAAAGGTTAAAAATGACGATTACCGTCCGGTTCGCAATTTAAAGCTCACATACCGTGTGAGAAAAAAAAGGAAAAAATGTCACGAGGTGAAGGGGACAAGACATAAAAAACTTACATATCTCTTTCTCATGGTTGACCATCGGATGCAGCTGCAGCCGAAAGGTCCATATCCCCCCACGCAGGTGGCCAAGAGGATGAGTGCAGCCCCTAATATCAGGTTACCGCACGTAAAAAAAGATTGGGAAAAATCTCTTGAGAGGAGTGCATGCCCTAAAAAAGGAAAAAAACAGTAATAGATAATTATAAATAAATTACAATTGCATAATTAAAATATAAAACACAATAATTCTATAAAAGTTAATAATTAAAAAAAATATGAAGTAATTAACATGTACAGTGTAAATTGATAAAATGATTTAATTATCAGCTGAACGTTAAATGAAGTTAAGAGCAGGAATTCGTAAATAACAAATTAAGAGTTAAGATAATAAAAGTAAAGCAAATTAAGAAAACAAAATTAAAGCGAATTAAAAAAAACAAAGTTAAAACAAATATTAAAAAAACAAAAGTGAAGCAAAAATTAAAAAAAACAAAATTATATTAAGGAGAGAATAAACTTGTGATAATTAACATTATCACACTCATCTATTCTTAACAATCTCCATGAAAACATAAATTGATAAACTGTTGCCATTCGAATTCACATAAGTATTAAACTAAGGAATAAATTATTACAGATTATGAATGATGACGTCATTACAAACGTTATTACGCAACATCCTCCCACCTTGATTAAATATTATTTAATCAACTAGAACATTTCCTAAAAATGCATTATCAAGCAATAAATATACATTTCAACTACATATAAAATTACTAAATGCATTATATACTTTATCTAAAGTAAATGTTTTTTTTTCAGTCATCTGAATATCTAATAGGTTTCTTAATCACCCGACCACTTCTGGTCGTAATATCTTTTACTAGTTTATCAGCTAAAAGTGACTCAAGTGTCTCTGATGGTTTAACAGTAGATTCGCCACCAGAACTTATTTCCAACGGATAAAGGCGTTGGACAGGTCTCAGCAATTCTCCAGAAGATGTCTTTAATTTCACTACTCGAACCTTTCCCTCTTTACCAGGATGAACTTCCATCACTTTAGCCAGTGGACACAGAGTTCTTTTTATGGAGTCATTTTCGATAATGACGACGTCTCCAATGCTTAGTTGAAAGCAATTTAGCCTCTCTTTACTTTGCTTTAACAGTCCGAGATATTCAATTCTGAATCTTTTCTTAAGTTGTAGTCTAAGAGCTTGCTGAAATCTCCACCTTTTCTTCAAATCTATTTGATCAATATCGGGTACTCCCACCAATCGTATTTCTTGTAAGAACATTGTCGGTGTCAGTAGTATCAAATCTTCTCTATCTTCGGAAAGATAAGATAAAGGTCTTGAATTTATTACTGCCTCGCATTCACAGAGAAGGCTCATTAACTCTTCATAATTAAGTGAGGCATTTCCCAAAACTCTTCGCAAGAGTTTTTTGACCATTTGTACCATGCGTTCCCCAAACCCTCCCCACCAGGCGGCGGAGGGCGGGATAAATAACTGTTGTTTCTGATTCGACAACACTCCAATCAATGCCTCGGGAAAGGTTTTTCGCTCCTACAAAATTTGTTCCGTTGTCACTATATACAACACTTGGTAGTCCTGGACGAAAGATTAATCTTCTTAAACAGAGTAGGATGTCTTTGGTAGACAAAGAACTGACCAATTCTAAGTGTACAGTTCTGAACACCGCACACGTGAAAAGCACAAGCCAGCTCTTTTGCCCACCTTTCAATATCAAAGGACCAGCCAAGTCTACTCCTACAATTTCAAAAAATGAAGCTTCCTTGACACGATCTTCTGGTAAGGAAATTGGAGCGGTTTCAACAGGCTTTACAGTGTGCCTTCTACACTTAATACACTTATTAATTACGTGGTGAACAGATAGTCTTCCACCTAGAACCCAAAATTTCTCCCTTAGGTTAGATCAGTGTTTCCCAACCTTTTTTGTACCATGCCCCACCTAAGCCTTTCTAAAATTCTTATGCCCCCCTATGTAACATATACATAATTTTTAGTAATAAAAAATCGAATTGTTCACTTAAGAAACTTAGGAAATTGTAAGCGAAACAAAGTAAGTAAATTTTCAGAACATATAATGAAAAACTAAAATTCAAATTCGAAATAATTTTAAGATTCTTTATACAGATTAAGTCTTTATAAAGATTTTTCTATAATAATTTAATATTTTAATTTAGTGAAATTCTTGCCCTTGATGCTTGCTGCACGTAGTTTTTATCTTAGGTTCCAATTTGGTCAGCTTCAGTCTCAAGTCTCCCCGTTGTGTTATATCCAGACGATTTCTTTTTTTTACCAATAAAATCATTTACAACATTAAATCCACATTCAGCTAAATATGAATATGGAA